ATGCATACGTGCATGCATGCATGCATACATACATACATACATACATACATACATACGTACATACATACATACATACATACACACATACACACATGCATACAAACATAATCGTGCATGCTTGCATACACACAATCATACATACATACATACATACATACATACATACATACATACATACATACATACATACATGCGTATGTATACAAAGGTGTTTATACAAATGCATGTATACACATATACATACATATATATATATATATGTATATGTACACAGATATGCAGTTATATACCAGAGAGGCCCTCGAGGCAGATCATATTCCAGATTTACCTATAGTCTCCATTGTAGTTCCTTTTTTTGGGTTTAACCAATTATATACTAAGGATTCTATAAGGCATCCCCAAAAAGGAACTACAATGGAGACTATAGGTAAGCCGACTGGAAGACACCCTAAACCCTAAACCCCAAACCCCAAACCCTAAACCCTAAACCCTAAACCCTAAACCCTAAACCCTAAACCCCAAACCCCACACCCCAAACCCTAAACCCTAAACCCTGACAGGCCGAGAAGTTGAAAGGCTCCGGCCTGCCTCTTCCTAGCTTGCTCCTTCGGCGTGACGACCTCGGGGCGCGGAGCCCCAAGAGGACTTCTGGAAGGGTTTCTTGCTAGGGGTTTTCTGTAAGGGTTTAGGGTTTAGGGATTCCAGAAGGGTTTTTTGTTGCTAAGGCTTTTCTGTAAGGTTTTTTTGTTTTGGTTGCGGGCTCCTTCTGAGGGATTTCGGGATCGCAGGGTTGAAGGTGTTGAGGATTGAGGGCCTGGGGATCGTAGTGCAGAAGGCTTTGGGAAAGATCGGTTTAGGGTTTAGGGGTTTAGGGTTTAGGGTTTAGGGTTTAGGATCGTAGCGTAGAAATGCGTAGAAGGGCTTTTGGAATGTGGAGTTTAGGATCGCGGTGTAGAAGGCTTTTGGAATGTAGGGTGTAGCGTCTGCGGGACTACTTGGAGGGTCGGGAGACTTAGTAAGTGGGTAATAATTATAAGTACCCTAAGAGGGACCCTAATTGGGGTTATAGTACTTATAAGTCTATAAAATAGCCATCTACTAAGTCCCCCGACCCTCCAAGTAGGCGTCTATGGGCGTTTTGACCGGAGTGTTCGAGATTTGGTGCCTGGGCCCTGCTCGGAGGAGTCCCGATAACGATAGCACAAAGAGCAGTAGAAAGAAAGTTACAGGCAAGAAACCCTAAGGGTCCATGTACCCAACTAGTATATACTTTGGCCTTAAAGTAGTCCCTAGATAGGTACTTTGGGGCCAATGTATATACTGTATGAGTACATGGACCCTTAGGGAAAGGTAGTCGTAGCAGTGATGATGGGGTTGTTTTAAACAACATGAAGAACAACTTGAAGATGTAGGCTGCGCTCCCTCAGCCAGACCCCCAGAGACCTCCAACATCAGGCCCATTGATCGCAAACCCCTGCAGCATCTTCCTGCTTAAGTCTCGAGTTTTAAGATAGCAAGATAGCAGCAGCAAAGAATCACCACAACGACTGCTAGCTACTCGCAGGCACGTCACACATTAACTTGCCGGCTAAAGGGCTACTGTACGAATTGCTATAAAGGTTACGACCAAGGTTTTTGGAAAGGCTTTAATACCCCGAACCCCAAACCCCAAACCCTAAACCCTAACCGACTCTAAAACTAGTCGGATAAGGGGGCTTCCGAAAATAGGGGACCCCAATCGTAGGATCCTTATAATAAAGGACCCCGAAATAGGGTACCCTAATTGTCGAAAACTCACATAAGATACAGGCGGAGAACGCTGATGGCGTCCTCGACAAGGCGACTCGCGACTACCTGCGGTCGAAGTGGACCACCCAGAGCGGTTTAGGGTTTAGGGGTTAGGGTTTAGGGTTTAGGGTTTAGGGAGAGCTCTGAGGGTTTGGGGCTTTCGCTCTGGGGTTCAGAGTTCTGGTTGCAGGGTTTAGGGTTGGCAGGTTTAAGGTTTTCGGGTTTAAGGTTTTCGGGTTTAAGGTTTTCGGGTTTAAGGTTTTCGGGTTTAGGATTTTTGGACTTGGGATTTCAAGTTTAGATTTACGACTTCGGGTTTGGGGTCTGCTGGCTTCCCCCGCCCCCCTCCCCGTCCCCCTCCAGCGTTCGTGTAGCTTGCGGCTCTACAGACGTTCTGCAGGCTTTTGGCGGTTGCCACTCAATGTAACGCTGTAGGTGTGCTCCCTGTATCGCCTTTACCACAATACCCTGGTTTCAAACGAATCCGGGACTCTTGAACCGGGTTAGGACGTAAGGTCTCGTGTTTAGGCAGAGTTTAGGTAAGACTTTGGCATGGTTACATAGTTGGCTGCTACGTTGCACACTGCACATATGCAAACACGCATGTTCATTCACTCGCTGGGTTCGTTGTGCTTCAACCTCTAATGCTGTAGTAATTCCAGCAAAAGCATCCATCGAAGCGGTTACAGCGACATTCAACCAAAAGCGGTGTTGGTGGCTTGGCTGCATGAGTTCTTTTGATCTTGAGTTTGTTCTGCGACTTATTTTGGTAGCGATTGTTTGCATGCCGGATGCCAGTGTGTTAGCTTGGCTGATGACACCGACTCGTGACTAGTGTGCAGGATCGTCTTAATGTGAATGCGCGCATTTATGTGGTTTGCTTATATGCTATATCATCTTGTGTTTTCTCGTAGTTTGACACGTGCCATGTTCGTTTATGCTGCCTGCCCAGCCAAGGTGTGACGCTCGTACCCAAACCTGCGAGTGATCCGGCGCGTAGCAGACATGACATTGAATCTTTGAGCCTCAAGAGGTATAGTGTCAGGATTTCTGCTTGTTAACCCCCGTCTACGCAAAGTTCTGTCGAGCTAGAGCTACCTGCAGAAGCCTATGAAGCCCGAAAAAGCTTTCCAAGAGCGCCAAAGTCGCTCAAGTATGGTTTACCCATAGGCCCCATAGTAGTTCCTATTTGGGATTCCCTAGTAGGATCCTTAATATAAGCCACAAAAAAGGAACTACTATGGGGCCTATGGGGTAGGGTTGAAGGAAGCGGCTTTAGCCAGACGGACCCGACAGCCGGTGCAAACTCGACAATGCGACTATCTGGGGTTGCATTTGGACAGAGGGTGTGACTTTGTTTCTCGGGGCTTCGGGACAAAGGGTGTGATATAGGGGCCGAAATAAATACCTATTTTTTTGGGGGGGGGAGGGGGGGTTCCTTACTATAGATATAGTAGACTATACCCAAAGCCCTATTCTAATTATTAAGGCCCCTATATTATGTCATATTTTTTGGCAGAAGCTGGGCTAGGGCCAGGGTCTTTAGACGTAATGCTTCAGTGCTATGCAGCTTAAGCTGAGAACCGTGACTGAAAGATCGAGGGGAATGGGGTACAGTCTCTCTCTCTCTCTCTCTGTCTCTCTCTCTCTCTCGCTATCGCTCCCTCGCTCTGCTTCTCCCTCTCTCGCTCTCTCGCTTTTCCTCTCTCCCCTTCTCCTTCATCTCCTTATCCATATCCTTATGTATTCCTATATACATAGATGTACACACATATATATATATA